ATAATAATAATAACAACAGTAACAACAAGCCTTTTAACATAATCAAATTAGAATTTAAAATTTAAAAAATCTCCTTTCACGGTTTCTTTCCTTCCTTCATATTTTTTGGGGAACTTGTTTCATGATTTGAAAAAAAAAGCATGATAGAACACAGTGGAAAATATTTGAGGGGAAAAATGTTAATTACATTAACAAATGATCAATTTAAACTGATCAGAACTCTAAAAAAAAGGAAATAACATGAAATCACTGACAATACAAGTTGTGATCTTAACAAATCAATCGATCTCATTTGAACTTGATAGTCGTTTTGATCAACTACTGATCATGTAGTTTCCACGCTGCCACTTCCAGTTGAGCTCCTGGTTTTTGAATCTGTTTTGCTCAATGTTCTCAGTGGCATTTTCTGCTGCAAGCAAACACGCTTGGAAGGCGTTTCCGCAAAATTACTTTTAACTTTAAAGAGATCTCATTAAGTAGAAACGTTGAAACGTGAAGAAATTTGACCGATAGATGGAGTGAAACTTACAATTTCGGGTGGTGGTCCGATCAGTAGGAATTTGATATGCTTTCGATACATAATACAGTAGAGAATCAACAGAATGCCGAAAACGACCGCTAGAACGACTGATAAGATAAATACCAAATTCCACGTTTGCTCACATTCGAGCTGCTCTTGACCCCGTCGTAGATCCTCTCCTTTTTCAAACGAATCCATTGCCCTGATCGCCCACAGCAATCCAAAGCTACTTCTTACTCAATCGCTCGAAAAAATAATGAAATGTGACGAAAATAGCTCATTTCCTAATTTCTTTCAATTATAACGTTTCATTTGCATAGTTGTCTTATGTAAAAATATGCAGAATCTGAATATTTAATATGAAAATAGCCAAAAAATTTTGGAAAAACATTGGAAGGGAGTTGACAATGCCTTATGCTGGAATCGAACCAGCGATCTTTTGCCTATAAGACAGACGCTCTACCTCTAAACCAACGAGGCGAGTTCGCCTCATCCCACATGAACTCAAAAAGGAGCGCCTCGGCAAATGCTTATGCCCCAGACTGGAATCAAATCAGCGCCATTCTGCTTACAATTTATAGCCGAATTGTCTTTTGGCATGCTTCTGGGTTTATACTGTGACAAAATCAGTCATTTGTGACATATTTATTAATTTATGATAATGTTATATCAAAGTACTTTTTGGACAATGTCATCATGAGGGGATTTCAAGAGAGTAGGGAGAAAACAAGGGGACTGGCAACGAGGGGTTTAACGGCAAGGACAAACAGGGCAGAAACCAGGAGGCTCTTAATAGCCTGGCGCGGTTCTGGGTGGTGGACAGTGGTCACAGCTGCCTTTCGGCCCGTCTGGTCCGGCGTCTCCTTGGTCACCGTTGGCACCATCCTCGNCCATCCTCGCCATTCTCAGCCTCTTTGCCGTTCTCGCCCGACGGGCCACGTGGTCCCTTGTGTCCTGGACGACCGTCACGTCCGTCGTTTCCTTTGTCACCGGCAGCTCCCTCTTCGCCTTGTGGTCCT